AATTCTAGTGTGAACTTTTTTTATGGTAATATTATAGTATTAGTCTCAACTTTTTAAAATTTATACACTTCAGTCCTTATGTTTTACAATTTTATGATTTGACCCTTAATTTTATCAGCTTATTCATCCTTTTACCTTGTGAAACATTGTTATCTAGTTCAAAATTTATGATTTTTAAAAAGTTAAGTTCTATCCTGCACAAAATAATGAAAATAATGTAAAATCAAATAAAATCATATTAAATCTATTTAGATATTAATAAAATCAAGGCTAAATTCATATCATATTATGAACAATAATTCAACATATCAAGTACTATAAAAAAAAAGTTGGTAAATTTTATATTAAAGTTTTATTAAGACTTCTATAAAAAAAATAAGTTTTATTAATATTTTTGTTAAGCTATTAATATTGGATATCTCTAATTAGAAAAAAAGAGAGATAAAAGAGAATCAAAAGTAGGATTATGATGGCAATAATGGAAAACAACTTTTGAAGAAGTATAAGGGGTATTCTAACCCCTAAGGCATAAAGGTAAGTAAAATAGAGTTAGAGAACAATGTTAAGAAGTTGTGTCACATTTATCTTGACCTAAAATATTTCTAATATAGACAATGATCTAAAATACCTCCAATATAGACAATGAGAGATGGAAATTAGAGCAAAAAAGATTTATAATAATAATTGAAGATACAAAGAGTGACTCAAAAGAATAATTAATATAGAAAGATTGATTTGGCTTATTAAAAAATATATATGTAAGGAAAGATAAGTGAGAGAAAAAAACAATAAAAATTAAATTATTAACATGGAGAGAGAAAATTAATGAGAGTATAAGATAAAAATATATAATGATAAAATATGAAGAGTAAGCTAAGAGATGAAACTCAAGAAAAGTGAGCAAGTGGTTGTACTAAGATAATAATGTTAAAAAGTTGCACTTTTTTTGTTTTAACCTAAAACATTTTTAATATAAAGAAGGGGCAGAGAAAAAAATTGGGTAATAAAACATGTGTAGAATTTTAATTAGGTGATCAATAAAATTGATAAAAAATTGCAATTAATGCATGCAAACACAGGTTAAAAAAACTCAATATATAGAGGGAAAAAGATGGCAAATGTATGATATAAAGACAAATATAATGATAAATAATGATAAGGGAAGCTAAGAGGTGGAGTTACCAGAAAAACAAATGAGAGGTAAGTGAAAAGGCACCAAAGAGTAATAGTAATAAGCAGAGAATTAAAAGAAAGATTATGATAGCAATAGTTGAAAACAACTTTTAAATGATTACAAGGGGTATTCTAACCTTAAGGTGAAAATGTAAGTAAAAAAGAATTAGAGAATAATATTAAGAAGTCATGTTACTTAAGTATTGGTTTAAAACATTTCTAATATAACCAATAAGAGATTTAAGTATTGGTTTAAAACATTTTTAATATAGCCAATAAGAGATAAAAGGACATTATAGTAAAAAGAGATATATAACGAAAAATGAAGGTATAAAAAGTGATTAAGAAAGAAAAATATAGAAGGAAAGAAAACGAGGTCAAATTAAGGTTTCATATATAATATATATTTATTCAACTAAGCTTTTATATGTGTCAAAGTTAACCAAAGAAAATGATGAAAGTAACTATATTGCAATTTTTAAAAGGTTAGGTTGATTTATTCTTCAATAACTAATTATCTCTTGGCCGCCCAAAAAAAAAAAAGAAGAAACCTAATTATCTCTTAGTTATTTTGAATTATTGTTCAGGTTATGGAACATGTAGGTGTCCTTAGCAGGAATTCATGCAGAAGCTACAAAGGAGAGATTGAAAGATACTTTGTATTATACATTTTATATATAATATATATTTATTCAACTAAGTTCTCGATGGTGTCAAAGTCAACTAAAGAAAACGATGAAAGGAACTATATTGCAATTTGTAAAAGTTTAATTACCCAATATTCAATTTAAAGGTTAGGGATAAATAAGCAAGAGAAATAAAGGTTGATTTATTCTCCAATAACTATTCATCTCTTGGCCACCAAAAAGATAAAACTGATTATGTCTTACTTATTTTGAATTATTGTTCAGGTTATGGAACATGTAGGTATCCTGAGCAGGAATTCATGGAGAAGCTACAAAGGAGGGATCGAAAGCTACTTTGTATTATTGTTTAATGTTTGCTAATATGAAATGGATTTGGGCTGCATTTGACAAATTTTGTTTGGTATGATTAAAGGATTTGAAATTTTGGGGGTTTTTGTCTGAAGAAGGGCACCAAGTAAGTTCTTCGTGAGAAAAAAGAGAAAGTTAGGCACTTGCCGAAGGTCGGCATATTGTCTCCTCAATTACAGGTTTTTTTTTTTTTTTTGAACAAGGCTAATTATAAGGAAAAGGAAAAATGAACCAGCCCAATGAGCTAGAGAACATCAATGATACATAAGTTAAGTGTAGATAATTAAATAATTAATAAAATTTAAAATTTTAATTAATTTTATCTAAATATTAAAATTTCAAAACAAATTATTAAACTAAAAGAATAAGTTCCTCAATTACAGGCTTTTTGAATTGGAAAGAAGTGTTACTTTTTCTTTGCGCTGGAATCTTGGCTAGGCCTGTGGATCCGTTTGCGCACTCAGACACTAATAATATGGCCGGGGAAAGGATAAGCTTAATCCACCTATTTTTTGTTTTATTGAAACGTGTCCACATATTTTTTTTATTTTATTAAAATTTATAATTATCGAGACAAGACACTAATCTTATCACGTGCCCAACTTTCTCTTCTCCCCAGAAAATGTTTTCTCGGAGGAAGAGATCTTGTGCCAACACCGCCAGCAAACAACAGCTGTATTACTGATGGCAACCATTTCAAGAGGATAACATATTTTAATATTTTAAATAATATAATTTATATCATTAATTTTAAATGTTAATTTTATAAATATTTTTCATTAAAAAATAAAATAAAAATGAAAAATAAAAAAACAATAATAAAAATTTTAAAAATATTATTAAAAATAAT